GAGCTGACCAGGTGTCGAGCTGCCTGTGAGGTGTCGGGCTGACCGGGTGCCGAGCTACCTGTGAGGTGCCGAGCTGACCAGGTGTCGAGCTGTCTGTGAGGTGTCGGGCTGGCCGGGTGCCGAGCTACATGTGAGGTGCCGAGCTGACTAGGTGGGTGCCTCAAAGCTATGATTGCACTGCATCAGCCTCGTAATGCCGGTCACCCACTCCTACAAGAAGTTACTAGGAACTCGACCTTCGAGGGCAACACTACTAACTTTAGGTCGCCAGCTCACACGRGAGCCTTGGAAGGCTCGACCAGCAAGGGTGCCTATGTAGCCTGTTGGCCACCAACTCCTGCGGAAGCCGGGAAGAGCTCATATTTGTAGAGAGGACCTTGCGAAGAGGTCTGATGAGGTTTTATCTGAATTGAAAGTAAAGTTGGTAGACCTGCTTAGTTTGTTAGCTCCCTACATAGTCTTCGAGTTCATAAAAAATGGAAACTACAAAGCGAGAGCTTCGGTTTCTAAAGAGTGAGGACTTAGCTTTCTGGGAGAAGAGGACTCAGCTTTTTGTAGGATGAGAACTTAGATTTTGTAGGATGAGAACTTAGCTTTTTGTAGCATTTTCCCACAGACGATGCCAATTCATGTAACCGTTGTTGGTCACGTACCAATTTTTTTCTGATGTATCAATTTTTTGGCTAAGTACCTCGTCATTTGACATGCTCCTAGGTGGCCTGTGACTCAGAGGATGATGGAGCTCCCTAGTGGTGAACTACCTGGTGGTGAACTACTTAGTGACGAACTCCCTGGTGGTGAGCTACTTGGTGGCAAACTCCCTAGTGGTGAGCTACTTGGTGACGAGCTCCCTAGTGGTGAGCTACTTGGTGATGAGCTCCTAGTGGTGAGCTACTTGGTGACGAGCTCCCTGGTGGTGAGCTGCTTGGTGACGAGCTCCCAGGTGGTGAGCTACTTGATGATGAGCTCCCTGGTGGTGAGCTACTTGGTGATGAGCTCCCTGGTGGTGTGCTACTTGGTGACGAGCTCCCTGGTGGTGAGCTACTTGGTGACAAGCTCNGTGCTACTTGGTGACGAGCTCCCTGGTGGTGAGCTACTTGGTGACAAGCTCCCTGGTGGTGAGCTACTTGGTGATGAGCTCCCTGGTGGTGAGCTACCTCGATGAGCTCGTCATTTGACCTGCTCCCAGGTGGCTTGTGACTCAGAGGATGGTGGAGCTCCTTGGTGTAGCGCAACCCGACTGCCCTCTGCATCAGGTGATCTTCTCCTCTTTATAGACGACAGGAGCTGAGGAACCTGCGAGAACTGAATCAGAGGACCCGAGGGTGTTTACACGACGGGGACTCTCTAATGCTTAAGTTAGCACTCTGATTGTAGAGAGCTTGACGATGATATTAGAGAAATGAGAGAGCTAGAGAGCAGGGGTTACCTCCATTTTTTCATCCCCCTTTCCCTAGGGGGGTGAGGTCTTTATATATTGGTGATCTAACATGTAACCACCTC